TGCCATTGAACTGGTGTCAAGTCTTGGGAAAGAACATCTTTTTGTTGCGAACTGCCCCAGTGATATTGATTCGAACAGATATTCAGGCACTGTGATCACTTATGAAGAAGCCTTTGATCACAGTGATACAGGAGTAGGCCTCTGCCTACTGCTCCCCAAAGCTTATGTCCTTCAGAAATTCATAGACATATGCCTTAACAAAGATATCTCTGTTCATTTTGTCTTCACTTGTTCAAGCAGTACCAGCGAATTTGAAGCTTCTGCATGGCTATACAACCTTCTAAATGATAAGGTTCAGCATGTCGGCTTTATGCAAAATCTTGGAGTTACCTTTTGCTCCGCAAATAACCAAGAGAAATACCTCATTGCATGCCAGGTTGAACCGTATGCTGAACACTGCCATGTTTCTTGGTCTCGACCCTGCAGAACGCTGGAGTATGTTTTTCCCAGAACTGTTGTTGAGCGACACCAGACGATCAGTGAACTTCAGAGCCGTTCTACAAGGACTTCAATCTTCTGGGTTATTTCTAATATATATATATATCTTAATATATATATATATGAACAAACCAAACTTAAACTTGTCTATTATTCAAAAACCAAACTTCTTCTCCAAAACCATACATCTGGTTTGCTGAAACGTGGTCACGCTCGGTTTAATTAATATTCCCTTTTTCGCTTGCTGGAATTATTTGTCTTCGAGGCACCAACCAACAAATTTATTTGGTTGAACCTTTGGTTGAATTGACAGATGGATCTTAAACCCCCTGTCAATAGAAACGACTCACATATTGTGAGAAAAGCCGAGCAGCATGCAAAGTGGTGACTAACAGAAAACCTAGTGAAGGTGACGACGCAGGAACTACGGCGGATGCAAAACCTCCTGGATGGAGGGATAAGGTCGGATGCTTGGAATGCTTTGAGTAAGGCCAAGGTCGAAGTGGACTCACTACCCTGTACAAAACGAGCACAGCAGGTGAAGCCACTCCAAGAACATTGGACGGATCATTAGGTAAAGCAAAAGAAGCAACAAACGAATATGACAGTGAATATAATAATAACAAGAATAACCAGGTGTGGGATGGGTGGGTTTTTTAACAAGCAAAACGCATAATAAACGCACCAGAAGATTGAAGTAAGCTTGAACCAAAATGTTTCAAGGTAAATACAGATCTGAAAGTTCCCCGTAAAACATAAACGAAACAAGTACGTTAAACGTTCTACAAGGACTTCAATCTTCTGGGTTATTTCTAATATATATATCTTAATATATATATATATATGAACAAACCAAACTTAAACTTGTCTATTATTCAAAAACCAAACTTCTTCTCCAAAACCATACATCTGGTTTGCTGAAACGTGGTCACGCTCGGTTTAATTAATATTCCCTTTTTCGCTTGCTGGAATTATTTGTCTTCGAGGCACCAACCAACAAATTTATTTGGTTGAACCTTTGGTTGAATTGACAGATGGATCTTAAACCCCTAAATTAACTATCTGGGAATTCAACTCGCCAAATATACCCCAATTGAAAAGTGAGGGAATTCCAGCAATCAGGAAAAAAGGAATTAAACAGTAGGTAAGGTCCATGGTATTGAAGCTTCTTTCGGAATCAAGGTTGGAGAAGTGCGAATCTGCCACAGCTCTGCAAGAGGAATGCGGATGCGATCTTTCAAGTGAAATGAATGAGGTGGTGATCCTGTTTGGTCCCAACGGCTCAAGTCATCTGCCAAAATATTTTGAGAGCCCGGGATATGATTGACATCAATTTCCATCCCCAACATCGCGGACAAAAGACACATTCGTTCAAGAAAAATTGATAGGGGATATGTCATACTCCAAAGTTTATTGCTACCGGATTCGGCCCCACTGTTGTCACTGAGGCTCTTCAAGCAAATGGGCATTCGATGCGCCGGAAAAAATTTGGAAGTCACAAACAGTAAAGCGATTTGAGCCAGGGTCTCAAAAGCCGAAATAGATCGCTGCATTTCAGCATCCAGCTCAATGCCCAGTTGAGTAAAATCTGAATGTGAATAAATCTCCGAAAACCAGTAAATTTGGCCTGTAGCTGATTTGACAAAGCCTCCAATTTCGCATGTGCTACCAGAAGCACATGCATCAGCTGCTGCTTCCCCATCCCAATACTTTTTTGGGGTTAAGGGTTTCATAGGAGACAGGCCTGTGACCCATTGTATAAAATGTTGTATAATTCGTAAACTCGAGGAAGACAAATGTCTCTTGGTGGAAGAGGGATCTCGAATCCGAAGCCAAATTCTTTTATTGGAGAGAGGAACTGTCGTCAAATCCGACTTCGTCTTGACTGTATGATGGCGAACCGCCAGTAGCTGGCCTCCAATTGGCAGTGCTGTCCCCTGAGGGCGAGAAATGATATGTAGATTTTCATCCAAATGACTTGAAAATTGTCGCCAATCACCATTGTCAATGCTATAATGTGTTGCTGGAATGGAATAGAGGTCATGATACCAATGTCGAATCCATATTCGCATATATGGCCAAAGTTGGGTCAGCCAAAGTGCCAGTCCAATCAGTTTCTCAAGGTTCCGCTTGGAAGTCCTGGAGCTGCGTCCCATAGAATGGAGATAGCCCAGAAACTTGTCAATCTTTTGCATTGGTATCTCAATAAAACCGGAACGAAAATGGATTTTCCAGCCAATCCATTGTATGCTGAATGCAAGTTCGCATTTCTGCCAAGAAACGGGGATGTTGACAATTTGACAAAACAGACAAATCATAGTAGCTGAGATTGGCATGCCAAAACTGGATTGATGGAACAAATAGTCATCAACGTACAGTAGGGCCACATGTGCCCACCAGAGCAAAAAGTGGAAGAACCTCAACATCCAGCCGCCAAGTCTAGACCACCATGAGGCCGAGAAAGTGGCCCCGAAAGGGGCCACTCTGTAAAAATATAATTGATTTTGCAGCGTAAATCCGAGAAGGCCATGTTCTTCTTCCCGAATGCATACTCTTTTGTGAGCTGCTTTAATGTCGAGCGAAAATCCCATGTGATCCCCAGAATAGTTTCGGATCGGAAATGTGCGAAGTACATCCTTAGCGGATGGCAACGTACTTCGCTCGGGTATCACACAACGCCCGTTAAGGCCGCAGATTGTTTGGTCTAAGACCAGTCGTGGAGGTCGCCCATCTGCATGGGCAATGCCAAGTTTGCCCAGCGCAACGCCCAACGGATATCGCTGTTGTGCATCCTGCAAAGTACCCTCAAATGGGAAAACCCATCCTTTGTCGATTTCCTGTTGTACAAGCTGCCTGGTCAACATGATATCATCGTCAGCGCTCTGCCAGTTCGTCAAATGGGCCGACAGTGGTGGCTCATCAGCCTCCGCAGAAACATTAAGAGGAAAGCAATTACTCAAAGGAATATCCCGTTGAAAACCAGTACCCACACCCTCAATCAGCGCTGGAAACAATGCCTGATCGGGGTCTTGCATGATCTGGCAGAGTCCATGCATAATGTGCAAACACATAGGTTGATGGTCCCGGATAGTCCAATCTGGGTTGATGCCGGAATCCTGCAAAAATTGTTCCAGGTCATTGCGAAAAGGAGTGATGATATTCTCTGCAAACGGTGGAGAAGAATGATCAGTTTGCGAAAAGAATTGGACTAAAAACTTGTCCAACCGATTATCCAAAATGCGTTGAACCCATTTCTGTCGAAGAGGACCGAAAAAGTCCGTGGCCACTCGCTCACCCAAACTCCAGTCAGGGTTAGATGTAAATCCACCACCATCTTCTTGTCCAAAAGGGGGTTGGTTTTTAAGGGAGGAATCTGAGAAATATCATCCCATTTCCAGTCGTGCGATGAATGGCTCACCAGAGGTGCTACGCGCTCTGCAAAGGCTGTAGCCAGATCCTCCGGGTAGCAAGCTGTTTGTCTACTCAGATATTCACCTGTGTCCGATACGGTTCCAACCAAAGATACATGGCTCCCTTTAGGGTGATCACAGAGACGGCCCAGTTCTGCAATTTTTTGCCAGCTGCTCGCAAACATCCATTGTTTGTACCAGTTCTTACCATATGCGCAAGCAGAAATAACCACGCACCAGGCCAAAATCAGAGTCACAAAAGCTTTGACACAATCTTCCAACCAACTCATAGCTGATGGAGGTTGCTCTAGGTGAGCATGACCTCCTGCTTGATAAATCAATGTTAAGCAAGTCACACATCGAAAAAGTATCATATATGAATCTTGTACCTGAAGAAGCTCCGCACTTGTCAATCCAGGGACACCTTGCATAGCTTCCGGTTCCGGTGTCCTCAAGGCTTTAGGACCAGGTCGATGCAGTTTCAGCCGAGAGTAGTGGGCGCAGGAAGGAGAAGCAGCGCCATATGCCACCTGGCCCGATGAGCAGATCCTCAAGAGCTGCTCATAGCTCTGGTCATTCAACAAATCCATCCTTGAGTCCAGAAGAATATCAAAGGCTAAGACATCACCATGTTGTGCCAAAATGGCTTTACTCAATGGCCGTGTTGCTCCCGAGCAAATATCTAAAAATATTTTGCCGTCACCTGTGTGAAACACTGGATGAGATGGTGAAAGAACTGTTGGTGAAACTGGTGATACTGCTGCCTCCCCGGAGGAACCGGGAGGTGAAACCTGAACCTCCGAAACATCTTTTAAAGATACTGCTGAGGACGCTGTCGCTGCTGGTGCTGGAGTAGTGGAGCCTGTCGCCATGGCCACTTCCTGCACTTCCGGTTCCTGCTGTGAAAGTCAGTGTGATGTGTTTTGATGCTGGAGGGCGCCATGATCCAGGCCGCAAGCTTGACCGTTGACCGGATATGCACATCCATGTTGGAAACGGCAGTTGTCACCCAGGGAACAATTACCTGTTTGGTATCTCATACACAACTGCTTCCACTGACCGTCCTTTGTCTTGACATCAGTCAGCCATTGCACTTTACCTTTGCTCTTTGATTTGCCTTTGCCTTTCGATGGTTTGCCTTTGCCTTTACCCTTATTCGATGCAGGAGCAGTCCAAGGTTGAGAGGAGGACTGGGCTTTGGCTGGACGTGGACGGAGCTGCAACAGACCTGGCAAATCATGACGAATATGAGTGAACTCATGCAGGCAATTGTCCATGTCCCAGTTGCGTTCAGCCATTAAATCTGCTATTGATGCCCAAATCTGTCTGTCTGCGGCCTGCGCTTCAGTAATGGATGCACACCTCAACATCGTTTCCGGATCCACCTTCTGCGTCAAGAAGCCCAGAAATTTGGCCGAGTAAGCCTTTAAATTGGCCAGGTGTGCACCTCCACACATTGCAACTGCCATGTCATGAACTGCCAGCAAATTTCGTACCGCATTGACCCCAAAACCTGAATTGGAAATCCGCCCACACCGCTTTGGCGGTGAAGGCGTGCTTATTGGGGGGCAACAGCAACACTAAATGCTCAATGACATTTGTTAATATAGCAGTCGCTATATCAGCTTTAGCTGGGGGGGGGGGGCCCAAAAACGGTTTCGCACCGAGACCAGACCCCAAAAACGGTTTCGCACCGAGACCAGAATACGGTGGTGTTTTCGACATTTTTCGAGGATTTTTGGGTGTCTGAGCGCAAGAGGGTATTGAAATGGAATTTTGGGTCATTTTGGTAGCTTTCCGGCAATGGAAAAACGGCCAAAAATGAAAAAAACATTGTACATAGCAAGATTTTGCAGGGTTTTTGGATGCCAGAGCATTGAAAACACTGCAAAAACAAGTGTTTTGGACTGACGTTATAGCAAAAAACGTGTAAATTACCGTATGCTTGACTGGAAACATTACAAAAACACTGTCAAAAGCAATGTTTTGGAAGGATTTACTGCCTTTATGGCAAAAAACGTGTAAATTACCGTCTGTTTGACTGGAAACATTGGAAAAACACTGTCAAAAACAATGTTTTGGAAGGATTTCTTATTGAAACTTCTTAGCTTGAAGAGCTCCCACGGGGGAAAACCACCCTTAGCCCCTCTCACGGACCGAAATAAACCTGCGGTGTGGGCGGCCACCCCACGCGAAGCGGGGTGAATATCTATTGAGGGAGGTTCATCAACCAACAGGTTATGCAATGAAGCCACTTCCAATTTGGGCATCTTGGTTTGCCGCTGGGAGGAAATCTCATCAGCTTTAGCCATCGTTAGCCTGTATTTCCAAGGAATCCAGGCCCATTGCTTCTTCAGAAGCTGGTGGTGAACAAGGCTGAGGAGTCTCGTGCTTGGCATGGTGTCATGGTTTACCAACTCTGACGGGTAACTAGCCAGAAATTTGGCTTTCAACTGGTCAATCACTGAGGAATCCAACTTTGGAGGGAAACTTTCGGCCCATGAATTTTGGCTAGTCATGGGGTCACCTGATGCGGACGCCGATGATGGGGCTGACGGAGCCGCCACTGACTGCAAAGCGGATTGACACATTTTGAACGCTGCACACACTGATGCCTTTTGAAGCAAACTGAGTTCCGTATCAGCAAAAAGGTCCTGCCAAAGCCTGTCAAAAGACTCAAGGTCTAAGGCTGCACACGCGAAGGACTGAGTTGTCCATCCATCTTGCACCAGCTGTGATGCTATTGTTGGGTCCACGCCACATGTGGACATGATGTCTTCCAGACTTTGAGAAGCCATGACGCCACGCTGCAACGCAATGAGGTGATAATGTGTGAAATTCAACATGAATCAAACCTGACAGTTGGGAAAAGCCAAATTTTGACCTATGAATACCAATGTGCCGTTCAATCAGGTGCATACGCTGTTATTGAATGAAGTGTGATATGACACTGAGGACTGCACGAGAGGGCAATGGAAGTTCTCCAGAGATGGCCCCTTGCTTGTGTTTTTTTTTAAAAAAAACCTTGTTTTTTTTTTGAAATGGCTGCGGTCATGAACAAATTTGAGCCAGTGTAATGCAAACCATACTGAGTACAAACCCCTTTATTGCTTGGACATGGTGCCATGACGCAGTGGTGAATGCCCTCTGTCATGAGGGTGAAAATTTGTCTCAACGCGGCACACCGTTTTCACGCTCGTTTGACACGCAAATTCAGGTCAAGTTTATGGATGCCCAAATTTTCTTGCATCCCGCATGTTGGCAAAATGCCATACCGTCCTGCCAATCATCTAAAAAGGTCGTCTCCGTATGAAGCATGTGAGCACCACATGCAGCCTTCCAGTAGTTGTCACAGTGAAAAGGTCTGGAGGGGTTGCCATCATTTGAGATGACCATGGCATGAGTAACGCGACGATGTTTTGCATAAACTGCTTCATCAGTTTCAATCACCTCTTTGGAAATCGCCGTGCCACTAGGAGGAGGTTTCTCCCCGGAAGAACTTCCACTGTCACTGGAGCTGGAGCTGGTGTCTGATTCCGATTCCGACACATCATCACTTGTTGGATGCTCCTGCAGGAGCTCTTGGGGGTCCACTTGTGGGGCAAACGGCAACCACACAAAATTGTATTCTGGAGCTGTCTTCTTAAACCTCTCCAGCGTTACCGTTGGCTCGACCATTGGAAACTGTCCACCCCTGTGTTGGGCGGTTTTGGGCCTCCAACCCTTCTGAACCTCTGTAATCACTGTCTGTTGATAACGCAATGAACCCCACACGCTGTCACGACCATACAAATTCAAGGAACGTTTGGGATCTTGATGGTGTCCTTGCAAAAGACGATCTGAGTCACTGACCAGAGAACCGAGTTGGGGGCCAAAACTCAGCAAGGTCGCTTTCATTGAATGAAGCGTGTATTGCATCTGAAGCTTGTCCAGGGGATGTGGCCCCTGCCAACCCTTCCATGGGGTCAGCAACATATCCCGAAAAATTTTTGTGGTCCCTGCATAGTCCAAAGGTTCGAAGACTGAAAACGATCCATCCGGGGACATTGTAGGAATCAAGAAATCACAGCGGGTCCTTGAAATTTGTAAGTCATGCATCACTTCGTCCCAGGTCCTCAAAAATTTGTAAAGCCAGGTGAATGTGCCTAAGCTGCATAGCCCAGACGCCTTGACCCCAAAGGGGTGCCCTGCAGCCATGGTTTTTGATCGCCAAACCATGCCTCTCAGCTCCTGAAAATTGAACACTAATGAATCCACATTCATTCTCTGTGCATCAGCAAAACGAAGTCCTGACCAGGTGATAAGTAGGAAGGCTCCCAACATCATGATTTCATATCTTGTTGATGCGCTCTGAAGGATCCTACGCTCCCAATGGAACAAAATCCAAAGGGGGAGAGGTGGTGCCTCCCGCTTGTCCTTGCTCAGCTTCGTCTTCAAGAAGCTGTCCACCAATGGTGAAAAGCAAACATGTAATTTTTTTACGCCTGCCACTTTATGCCACCACCGAAGTGCTTTAATGGTAAAATTTCCAGAGGTAACATCCTTGTCTGTGTCACATGATTTGGACAGCTTCATCACTGTCAAAACGTCCGCAAGTTGAGCCTCTGACCAGTCATGGATATCCAACCCCAGTTGCTGAGCGACTGTGACAAACTTTTGAACCGCTTGTAGGTATCGAAGTACCGTAGTGGCTGCAAAGTTATTCAACAGCCTTTTTCTATGGTCAGCTGCATATGGAGAAGCGGACAGTGCTCTGTAAACATCCGAGGATTGACCAAAAACTTCCAAAAGAGCTGCAAAACGATCCACTATGAAATTGTTTTCACTCGTCACTTTTGAACGCGTCAATTGCATGGCTGTTGAGGTCCGAACGATGGGTTTGGGCACCTTTGGAATGCCATCCTTTTTCAACGGTGGGCACGGAAGAGCTTGCAGTGTACTGGGGCACAAGGCTGTCCCCCCAAGAATGTCATGTGGTGCCGCCGAATCGCCAGTCGACCCAGTTTGTGAAACCCGCACCAAACTTTTAGGGTAATAGTCATCACGATGAACCCTAGTATATGGAGTTTCCATCCGTGAAACATGGTGCAGCAAATCCCTGCGAACTGGGGCAAAAGCCGGAACTCCTTTAGGAGTGGCTGCTGAGATCCGTGCGACCGTCAAGCATGGACCTGATCTCGAAGGAGCAGGTGTACCTGTCAATTGAGTGGCGTTCAGCCTGAAAGGTGCCTGAAGTCGAGGTTGAACAACTGGTTGAGGTCGTGGCAATGGACATGCTTTGGCTGAGGGCTGCACAAAATCTGAAAAGAAATCATCTGTAATGAGGTCCCAACCATCATCTATTGTCGTCTGAGTCTCCATGGTCTGCCACTGATGGAGTAGTGATCTCTCTGAAACGCAAGGTGAAGGAAAAAATCCGATTCGAAGTCCAGCTAAGATATATGATATCCACAGGCAAATCACGTACAGGAGAATGTTGATCATACAAAAATGAGACAATAATGGTGCACAGCTCAGCTCTGACCGGTGATGTCAACACTTCTGTCCACTCAGGATCACGACGTCTGTCGCGCCGCATTGCTCGCCCCACCCAGGGCTGTCCAGTGAAAAGCAGAACTTGCAAAAAATGGTCTGGAATGTGGACATGCAACCCCAACCAAAGCAATGAAAAGCAAATTGCCATTGATCAAATGGTTGATATGCACCTAGGAAGTGCGCTTGTCTGTTTTTTTTTAAACAAGCAAAACGCATAATAAACGCACCAGAAGATTGAAGTAAGCTTGAACCAAAATGTTTCAAGGTAAATACAGATCTGAAAGTTCCCCGTAAAACATAAACGAAACAAGTACGTTAAACTTTCTGCAGTTAACTCTATTGACTTCAGAAGACCCAATGGATGCCATCGCATATCAGATAAGATTGATGTTACCTCACTCACTGTCCAAATTGCAAATGATTGCCTGGCAGACATCGAGCTTGTTGAGAAGGTCCTTCAGCCAACTGTTGATGCCGCTTGGTCGCATGGACTTGCAGAGTGTCAGATTAAGCATTTTTCCATGGAATGACTCAGAATTCCAAAAGCATTTTCCGCATGGAATCACTATGTCAGTATTGGACTTGAAGGCGTTTCCGAACACCGTGCTTAACGAGATACTTGTCCAACTAGCCAACCTTAAAGTGAGGTACCATTTCATGAATTACAGAAGACTTGCCATCTTTGGATCGCCGTCACTGGTCATTAATCTTCATTTAGCCCTTCTTCCATTTGACGTTCATTTACCGATTGGGCCTAAGCAGGGTGCCTTCACTGTCCACATGCTGCGATCAGAACCGCATTGCACACAGACCGCCCATGATTATAATCATTTTCAAGTCAAATTTGGAAAGATTGGTTCCTTTCAGTACGCACCTGCACAGATTTTATGGGCTGAAATTCCCTCATCAGCATGTACGGAGGACCAACTCGACCAACCAAACCAATCACCTCTAGTACAATTACTAAGACGAGAGGTGGGGGCTGTTAATTTCTCCATTCGCTGGTGCCAAGTTGACAGGTCACAGCAAAAGTGTCTCTGTTTTGACGTCGAGATTAAACATGAAGACTCTCTTCCTCTCTCACTTGATTGTGACCCTGGCCAAGTTGTCATTCAGCACCAGTGCCCCTCTGCAGAAGATTTTCGTGCTGATGTCTCCCTTACTGAAGTTGAAACCAGACGGGATCACTGGAATAAAGTCATTGCTCAACAAATGATCCCTAAAGAAGGCAGAATCAGTCATCTTTCTTTTGAACCAAACAAGAAACAGTCAGCCAGAAGATACTATGATTTGCGTACTGCTGTCATTGATTCCATGCAGGACTTCACCAATATTATTGCCATTGCGTCCCAACCGCCTGCGTGGTTCTTCTCGCCTAAAGAGTTGCATATGCCCTTGATGGAATGCTTACAAAAAGTTAACTTTTGTGACAACTCTTTCATCCAGGAACCCTTTGTGACAAATCCTGACACTGTTAAGATTGACCTACTTCATCATGAATTTATCAAACATAGGGACCACCAGAAGTGGCTCTTTTATCATATCGTACTTGGTCCAGAGCAGTGTTTCCACTTGAAATCCATCCATCTCGAGCGTGATGAATGGAAGGTACGATACTACGATGAATTGATCATACGCACCTTTGAACCCTCCTCAATTTTTGTCACACTCCCCCCTGGAATTTCAATATCGCAGGTCGTCGATAAAACGCAATGTTGTCACCTTCGAGAAGCATATGCCTGCACCGTACCATCACAAAGAACCCCTGATGTTGGCACTACCCATGCTGGATTGAAAGGGCAGTATACTACTGTCACACTGACTGCCCATTTTCCAAATGGCCATGGAATGAACAGCACTAAGAATGTGCCTTCCCACGGACAGTCGAGTTCAACACCAACAGGGAACAGACCAACTTATCGCCCACCACACAAACCCAGGCCGGGCAGAGGGTCTCCCAACACATCTCCTGAGGGCGATATTGAAATGCAGCCTGCACCAACCAGTAATAGCGAACACCCTGAACCCCCGAAAACGCACGTTCAGGCGAGCATCGGCGAACACAGTGAGGATGTGCCCATGGAATGTGTTGCAACAGCCCTTGATCCGGCTGACGACAACACTCATAGTCCGGACAAAGAATCACAACGACATGATAATACCCCCCATGGTCATAACCCCCTCGCCTCTGACAATAATCTTGCCATGGCCAACCTTGATCAGAATTACCCTCACGAACCAGGACAACATGCCCAGGATAGCAACACGAGCAACCTTAGTTCCCCCAAGGTGAAACACTTGCACCTCAATACAGGTACGCCCACTAATCACGAAGATGTCGCCAACGTGGGGTACTCACGGTTGTGTGACACTCCCCAATCTACTGCCCAGGCTCATTGTGTCTCCAAAGCCACTGTACAACCCTTATTACTGGACTGCACCACTCAGCGAAAAGATGCTACTGACAAACCCATCCGTACCCACTCCATACCTCAGATCACAGGACCACTCAACTCTCCTGCGTGTATTGCCAATGACCCAACGCCCGAACAACAAGACCATTCTGACAATCTTACCTCAAAAGTTGGCTTACCAGCGCAAAAGAGTCGGCAGACCAGCAAGCAGGCTGCCGAAATATGACCCCTCATCATAAGACGACCTAATTCGGCCATATTGTGAGCAGCAGTGGTCGAGGAGCTCCGTTAAAAGCAGCAGTGCGACCGTGAGCTGCTGAAAGAGATGGATGAGGTGTTGGAGTTTTGGGAGCTGTAAGCTAGCCGCAGCAAAGCTGAACACAGGAGTGTACCTAATCAGCCACCCGAAACTGTCCTAGACCTCCTAGCACAAAAGGCCGCCTATCAGCCACTGGACGACAGGGATAACACTCATGCTCCTGGCGATGATGTAATCTTTGTCAAAGCCTCACACAGCCCTATTGACAATATTTTATGTGGCAGTACGCAAAGCAGTAGTCTCCTTATTTCCAATAGAGAAATCATCACTGGATGGCCCAGCTCATTTTCCCATGCTGATTGCGACTACTTTACCAAGCTTGCAACGTGCTATCACATTAAATTCCCAAGCTACATGTGCTATGCGGTTACTGCACTACGTGTCCTCACCCATGCACCTTGGGATGATAACATGTTTCATGGCCACATCAGAGAATTAGTCCTATGCGCTATCGGCAATGGATGGACATGGGCTGACCAGACTGCTACTGTGCAAGGAAGACGAGTAAGCATTGGAGAAGTCTGCGCTGCTTTTGCCAGCTACCTGAACGTGAATGCCTTCCCGCCTGGGCAAGTTTCTGACCTTGACACCGCTATTATTGCAGCCTGTGATGACTTGTTTCCAGACCATAGCGAACGCTTCTTTGCGCAATTTCATGTGCACTGCCTTTCATGTAGCGCATCGGGCAAAGTCTCAGCCGCTCTGTTTGACACAATGTTGAGTATTAACCTAGAGAATGATACCATTGATCTTCCAAAAATGATTGCAGATCGAACTCCGCGCCTTGCACTTGACAGAGAGGATATTGGTTCTTCTCACGCCAGCGACTGTTACAATCAGGACCAACAAAGTAATGAAGAAATTGAAGGTTGTTTGATTTTTACCCTCAAAATTACAAGCCCCATTGAGCAACTACCAATTGCCACCAAGGCTTTGAATCTCCTTGGACA